CTTATGATCATAAACAAGCTTCTGTCCAAGTTTGGTAGAAATCCAGGATAGTTTAAGAAAGTTATTAAAATTTCAAAAACTTTAACCACAGAGTGAATATTTGTGGCCGCTGACGCCGACGGAATGTAGGATCGCTATGTCTCGCTTTTTCGACTAATGTCGAAGGCTCGACAAAAATGTCATAATATGGTCAAAATATGTTCTGTTAACAAAAGTACAATTAAATATTGAGTGACCACAACTGCATATCTCTACAATGTATAGTATATTTTCTATTAACCCTTTCCTCCATGGATTATTTTTTATCATACCTGATTCGCATTTGATTTTTTTCAATAAAAAAAATCATTAGGTTTAAAGTATTAATGCATTGCGAAAACAAATTTTTCATCGATGAAATTTTATCCTTTTTATATTAGATATAAATTTTATCAAGTCTAATACAGATTTTTCGTAGACAAGATGTTTCAACTGAGGCACTACACAGGTGTCAAAAGGCGTCATTATGGAGTAAATGGGGGTGGCATCAAAAGGCGTCATTATGGAGGAAAGGGTTAAAGGCCTTAGTACCTTTGTAAATGGTTTAAATAAAAACAAAAACAAATTTTTTTTAGAAAGAAGTGAAAGACAGCCACAGGACGCCACAGAAACTGAAGTATTTGTCGACCACTACATACCATCTCGTGGTCTTCAAATTGATCACTCCAATTATGTAAGTGGAGGTTTGTTCTAAAACCAATTATCAACAATTAATGATATGCACAAATCATTATAAAGAAAAATGCATGGAAATGATAACATCTGTCATGATAACATCTGATGACAGATGTCGTAACAAAATTTAAACCAATGAAGAACTGAGATCTATTAAAACCAACACGTTGGGGAAAGTATAAATTGTCTTACAATTATAGAAATGTATATAAACTTAAAAATTAGCATCATAAAATATGGAATTAGATATAACTGTTTCTTCCAAAAAACATACTCTAAACCATGTAAGCCATGTAAGATACATATAGGAAACATAAAAAAAAAATCTCTTCACAATTAATATCTACACTATAACATGAATGTAATATATTGATTAACATGATTAAGATACGACAATGTATTAGTTTTTCTCTTTCAATATAAAATATGAATACTGTTGTATTAAATCTTGTATTTTGGTCTTTTACAGAAATTGGTTCCATTGGATCAAGCAAAACCTCCACTTTATGAGAGGATTGGAGGAACTGAAGTTTCAGTCCCTCAAAAGTGGATGGTAACCCTTCTATCCAAGTGTAAAGGCAAAGGCTCCTCCTTCACCATTAAAAAAATGTTGGATGGCTTTTTTGAGCCACAGGAGCTAGTTGGGCAGAAGGCCAGTAGTCTCCGAAACAACAAGATAATTCAGGCTATACGTTGTAAGTTGTCATAGATAATACTGAAAATATATCAATGTAAAAGGGTCTTTTTCATTTTCTTTTAAAATGAAATGAAATTATGCTTTAATTGTCAGACAATTTCTTAATAAATGATCTTTTATCATTATTAAAGTTTTAAAATAGTTCTTTCACAATATGTATCAAGATATAATGTCTTTAACAAGTTTTTTTTTAAAGAATTTCCTGTCTATGGGTAAGGAACAAATCTCTAGATCAAAACTGTATACATGCCACTATAATTTGACACAAGTAGAATGAAATAGAATAAAAAATTATTCATGTCTGCCATTAAACCCTTGAAAATGAACTTTAGTTATTGAATCTAACATTTTATCTATACACTTACTGTTTGTCATTTTTTATGACAATTTTAAATTTTTGAATGGGCTTTCTAATTGTGACAGGGAATAAGAGCAAAAAATTTATAAATTATATTTAAGTAAAGGCCATTTCAGAATAAGTTGTATGAAAAGGATAGGAAGACCAATTGATAAGACATAGAAAGTGGCCTTCAAAACGTGCAATTATGCAGGGTAGGAAACTCACTGGAAATGTCTACCAGACCACAGGGCTGGCTGCATAAAAAAATTACCTGTCCTGATCAAAATTTACCAGCCCTGAAAATTAATGCAATAAAAATCAAACCCATTTTCCTTCAAGATTCTAAATTATGTTTTTGTGTTTTGAGATGTTTTAATGACTAGAAGTATTATTAGATAAATTTGAGGATTTTTTGTGATGAAAATGACTTATGACTGCTTTTGTAAATACACACTGCAACAAGACTTACAAGTGCACATTTAAGCAGACACTGCTAAGCCTAATGACCATTTGTTCAGAAGCAAGGTGTGATTTAATTTTTGGGCACTGGGGGTATTAGTTATTCTTCAGTGTAATTCAGCATGCCTTTGTTTGTACCTTTGTTCCACAAAATTACTTTTAAGCAAATAAAAATAAAATTTTGGTTTCATTTATAATTTTATTGCTCCTCATTTTCACAATATTTGAAACTCAACCACTCGAACTCCGTTTTCCAACCAGGAACAATTGTCCGCTTCCTCTTAGACTGATCGTACAATTTATTTTTTCCTGTTGAGTCAACAGCAGTTCGCTTTTTCGGCAACGAAAGGCCCAAGTACTGTCGTAAAGACATGAGTTTACAAAAACAAATTTGTACTTTCGATTTCCTCTTATATTTATTTTTTATTTAATAAACGTGATCGCGATTGGACGATTCGATACCAACTAGCCAATGAGTGCGGATCTTACAAACAACAGGTATCACCATGTTCCCTGCAGAAATCGTGTGGAAACACGTGGTAGTGAAAGGTTAATTGGCAGTCATGATTCTTACCGTGCTGTTATGAATGGGGTAATACTGAGAACTCATTCCAAAAATAGAAAAAAGTAATCCCAACCACCTGCAACAAATAGACCGTCCACCGGACTGTTGAAATTTAATTTTTGACCGCCCGATCGTAAAATAGGCCGTCTCGGGCAGGTTATAATTTCCAACTCTGAATTATGTTTTAACACAATAACACGTCTGTATGATTATACTTTCATATGCTAGATGGATCATAGTTCTACTTTTATTTTTCAGTATATATAATCAACAAATTTAATGTCAAAGACAGTGACTTTAATGGTGCTTTAAATTCCAAGATACACACCTGCAAAAGGGCATCGACAAAGATTATAGAGAAGAAATGATTGTTTCAAGTTCATGCAATGGAGTCTTACTTAATATTTGACTATTTGAAATGTTTACACAAGAAGATGTGTCACAGTGTTTCAATGGAGAGCAATTGAAGTTTATGTCACTGTTTTATTTTTATGGATTATCATTTGTCCCTGTTATAGAACAGTTACATATTGGGTGGTGAAAAATTAAATGTGACATTTTATACTTATTTGATGATGTTAAGAACAAAAAGACAAATAGTTACTATTTATTCATGTTTATTATTAATTTTTTAATCTTAATCTGCATGGCTTCATTTTGCTATCCTTTGACTTGTTTGAGAGATCTTAATTAAAGGATGTGAGCACTAACATTTACTTAAAACCTCAACTGAACCTATTTAATGAATGGTCACATACAACGTACTGTTTCATGTTGTCAGAGGTAAAAATATATGATTTTGATCAAAGAAATATGAAAGTGAAAAGCTTATAAATGCATCAGATTTATATCAAAATAAGGTGTGCCTGGTAAGAAATAAAAACCACCAAACAACCAAATGACACAAAAAAAAAATGTTGGAAAGATTTTTTTGTTGAGTGATATGGCAACATTATAAGATGGTCCTTAGCTTGAATTGAGCAGTATATTTTAAGGTTTGGAGGTGTTTTTTTTCATTTGCTGAGTGAATAATTGTATGCCCCCATAATACAATAGCAATTTTATTTTTAAAATACAGTATCTTCTGTAGGGCATTGATCAGCATTTTTAAATCCTTTAATGAATAGAAAAACAAGAAAGTCAAATATTTCAAAGATCATTCAAATGCATCTGTACCTACTATTGTAGAAATACAAAAATCAACAATTTTTGTTATTTATCCTATAGTTCTTTTTTCTCAAACTGTTTATTCTATTATTGTGTGCATTTGTGTCAAATATCTGTTTTTTTAGATGGTTAGAATAAAATAAAAGTTAATTTGCTTTATAGTACATTATGTCTTTCTCTTTCTTTCCTTATCAGAAGAAAATGCTGACAAATTAGCTGCAACATTGCCGCAATGTTGCAGCTATTTGTTGCGGCAATGTTGCTGCAACTGTTTGCAGGAAAACTAATTTGCATACGAAAAATGAATATTTGCCGCAATATTGCGGCAACATTGCAGCTATTAATTTTCCTGCAAATATTTGCCGCAATATTGCAGCAATTTGTTGCGGCAATATTGCGGCAACTGTTTGCAAAAAAACTCATTTGCATACGAAAAATGAATATTTGCAGCAATATTGCTGCAAATAGTTGCAAGAAGCCATATTTTTCCATAAGGGATAACATCGATCCTGTATAACCCTGTCGCCATTCCGTTTAGAGTTCATAGGTGGATTTTTGCTTAACTTCCAGTGGCAAATATTACATTTATAATCTGGACATGAAAAAAATTAACAATAAATCCAATGCGGTCCTGTCAAATGGATCTACCAGGATAAGGGGTGAAAATTTCAATTGCCACTGGGAAATTAGGGTAGTGTTGTATTAAAACATACGTTTTGCCTTGCAACAGGCCACCTATAGATCCGTTAAAGAATGCTACAAGTGTTAATTAAATGTGTAAAGAGCATGACACTATATGAAGCATTGCGTTTACCGTTTCCATCTGAACCGGGCGTGACTGTGTATTTAAACATCCAACACAGCAAAACGTTTGTTTCTCTTCAACATTATACTGTTATACTGCTAGATGAAAGAAGTCAAAGGATCTTGACCATATGTTTATCCCTCAGTCAACTCTTGTGATGTTGGAGTTTATTTCATTGAAAATGAATTACTTTCGAGTGTTGACTGTCAACCTATTTGATACATATTTTTAACAATTCCATTTTTATTTACAGTGGAAGTACAACTTGGAGAATTCCTAACATTGGACTATAGACTTCTAGCAGCACCAACTGTTACTTCTGAGTATATTGAAGCTGATTTGAAAGTAAATTTTATTTTGTATACATGTTTTAATGCATTAAACAGAAATGAATATGGAATACTGGAAAGAAAGGTTGTTTTTATATGAGTAAAAGCGGAAAATATACCAAAGATCAATCAAAAGCCACCAGTCGAAAAAGACAGACAAAACGATGACTAAAAGAAAAAGATAAACAAACGTCCACTTAACAATAAACAAAAAATGTAATGCGCATCACGAACCCGTCCAAAAAAACTTTGTGTGAATTTGTGTGCTCCGGAAGGTAAACAGTTCTTGCTACATTAGATTATACTTGTAACATATCTTTTATCTTTCTGTCTTCAACCAGACATAATCGGGTTAGATTTCAGTCGACTGAAAGATAGAAGGATTATAAGTAATAAAATTGATTAACATTTAGGGAAATGCTGCGATTTTGTTTTAACACATGGCAAATTGCAAATTATTTTGATTCACAAAGGTATGAAAGGAACTAAAGCTTGCTGGTAGCAAACTGACACTAAACAGCAGTTCATTTAGTTCATATCAGTTTATCTTGTATTTATATAAGGACTCATCATATATGTTCGCTATGAAATCAAATCTAATTAAAATATAGATCTCCAATTTCGTTAATCTTATATGTACGAGCACGAGAATTACTATAGATATGAATTTTAATTAGATTGCTATGTAATCCTGTTACTAACTCGTATTATGATTTTTTTTTTCGGTTTTAGGGAGAAATATTTTGGAAAAGTGATAAATCTGAAGCACCCTTTGCACCGCCTGCCATGGCAACCATTACAGACAACAAAAAGATGGTTTATATCACACTGTCAGAATATATCTTTAACACAATGACCTACCAGGCACACCAACACAACATCCTAGTATTTAACCTTACTTCACAGAACGTACGTACTAAAATTGTTTCTTACATTTCCTATGAATTGGTCAATAAAATTATCTGTATTTGTATCTGTATGAAATCATGCGTATTTTATAATAAAATTAGCATCTAGCTTGTAAATATAGATTCTTACATTGGTACCAGTGGATTATCGGATTTATCCATTCGAGATAGTTAAATTATCGAATTTTAAAGTGTGAGCCTCGGCGTGGACTTTAGAATTGATAATTTGACTATCGAAATTGGATAAATCCAATAATCCACGAGTAACTATGTACTAAGAATCTGTTTCTCTTATGATTATCAAATAAATTTTAATTTTTGATAAACGAAAATCCCTTTTGAGTGCCTTCCACATTCCACAAAGTTGTCAATTTTATTAACACCTGTTAGCACATTTTGATTCTTCCAGTGAGCTGATAAAAGTTATGACCCTTAAACTCATCCAATCATCTTCTGAGATCATCGGCAACCACACGTTGATTAAACTTTTTTATACAATGTGTTCGGAAAGGGTTAAATTGCCAAAGAATTAGAGAAATGAGTCTATCTTTTTAAACGTATACCGTGTATGCCGTGGTGTTTTGATCTTCGATAACTATTTCGTGTTTTTTTTAATATACTTGCTTGTCTCTCTATTATCAATTGTTTGAATTTAACAAAGCATTTTATTATTGCATTAGATAAATATATAAAAAATATCTTTAGAATGTGCATATGCACGTACAGTTTTAATCATTTACTGATTTCTGACACTGCTGTGCGGTTGTTTATATTCGTGGAACGAATTTGTTTTGTTTTTTTTTTTCACATATTTTCGAGTCTAATTATTTACCGTGTTTCGTGCACAACGTGTAAGCTGTTTTTTGTTTTTTGTTTTTGTTTTTTTCATTTCGTCTGTGCAACATACCACATCTTTACGACCATCTTCAATACATTTTATTATATGACAATTTAAGGTAGTACCTGTCTTTGTAAGAATCATGCAGGTTCCTGTTGATAGGCGATTCATGACCCCTCTTGGTATGGTATGAAAATAAGTTTCATATATCAATTTTTTTCTTTTGAACCTTCTTGCCATGGAAACCATCCTTACAAAATTTTGCCAAAATACGTACAAAAGTAGCCTTTGAAAATTGAAATATAAGGGATTTTAAAGAACCATTAAAATAAAGTTAATCAATACAAAAAATAAGTATATTTACAGTATTGACAAACAAAACCCAAAACTATACAAAAACGCTAAAATTTTGAATTTACTACATAGTTTGTTTCCAAAGCAACCATTTAAAAATGTGTTAAAATTCGAAAATGAAAAATTTCTAAAATTCTTAAATTTAAAATAAAAAATTGTCAATTTTCACCAAAATTCAGATTACCAAACAGATGAATAATCAAACATTTTGAACTTAAAAAGCTAAAATATTCCATTTGTATGTGCAATTCTGACACACATTTGTTAATTTTAAACTAGAATATATGATTAATGAAGATATACTTGTACAAAACATAAACTCATCACTCTGGGTATGGTGCACCTCCCCCCTCTTTTTTTTTTGGAAAAAAAATCATTTTTTTCAAAATTATAAAATTTGTTGAAAAAAATGTTGAATCTTATTGTGTTTACTTGTGAACTAAGCATTTTAAGAATTTAAGCATAGCATTACTTCTATAGTTATATGTAAGATTTCTCAGAAGTTTGAAAAAAATGATAACACGCATAACCTGTTGTCGTGCCTGGGATTGATGCTGTTAGTGAAAAAGAATAATATTGAACTCCAAAAACATTCAAGCCTGTGTATAAAAATAAGAGGATGTGTTGTAATTGCCAATGAGACAACTCTCCGCAAGAGACCAAATGACATAGAAATGAACAACCACAGGTCATCGTACAGCCTTCAATAATGAGCATAACATGATTGTCTGTAAAACAAATCTGAATGAACAATTTAAAAAACAAATTGCCCTAGACTAAGATCTGCTAAACAAGAATGCACATCCTGAAATGTCTGGTTGGTTTTATTTATCAATGAATTACTTTTGAAACTCTGTTATATAAAGATTTTAATACAAGTATCATATTAACTTAACATTTTCAATGTTCTAAGAAAATGAGGTCAGGGTACGATGAACTATGTCAGACAGACGAAAGAGAGAGAACGGAAACGAAAAATTAAGTAATTTTTCCATTTTTAAAGGGGCATAACTCATTAACAGTACAAGTGACACCAATAAAATTCAAACTAGATCTGTATTTTATGGTAATAAGCATTGTGTATAAGTTTCAAAACATTTAGTTGTGGCTAACTTAAGTTCGAGAACGGAAAAAAAAAGTCAGCAATTTTTCCATTTGTAAAGGTGTATAACTCTCGAACGGAACTATCTGAGGAAATATATACCAACGATCTATCTTAAACTGTGTAAGACTTTGTCAATTTTTGTATGGTATATGATGGAAAAGGACAGCTTGTCTATCATTTTTTTTTAAATAACCTAACTGAATTATTAATTGTTTAAGGTAGAGTTATCGCATCTTTATAGTTCTCAAAACATATTCTCCTTGTGGGCCTTGAGGAAAATTTGCTGGTCCTAACTAGTATATACTGTTTTGATTCTCAAAACTTTAGGACCACCATATGCAAAGATCATTCATGGAATTTTGCTCAATTTTATCAATTGTTATATTTACACATTTGTATGCCCCTGCCCTGGTTTACCATTAAGGTTTACCATTGTACGTCCCAAAGTTGGTTTCTGTTCTCTAACTTTAGTTTGCCTCAACCAAATGTTATGAAACTTAATCACATTGCTTATTACCACAAAACACAGACCAAGTTTGAATTTTGGTGGTGCCACTTTAACCGTTGCAGCGCTCTCACATGTACAAATCTTGTCAGATTTTTACGAAACTAATACTTTAGATTAATATAAGCAACATGTCAAACAAGTTATATATTGTTGGCCAATCGACTTTTTTAAGAGTTATTACCCTTAAAAATATTACATTTATGGAAAGTGGCCTCGTTAGCGCTCTCGAGGGTACAAGTTGTTTTTTTTTCATTTTCAGTATATTTCTGATAGAAAGGACGTAGTTTTTTAGTTCACCGTTCCATCACTTGGCGTCCGTCGTCGTCCGTCCGGTGTTAACTACTTCAAAAACTCCTCTGAATCTACTGAAACAATTCCAGCCAAACTTAAGCTGAATGATTCTTAGGATATCTAGAATAAAGTTTGTGTTTTATTTTCTATTTTGTCAAAAAACATGGCCGCCATGGCTAAAAATAGAACATAGGGATAAAATGCAGTTTTTGGCTTATATCTCACACTAAAGCATTTAGAGCAAATCTGATGTAGGTAAACATGGTCATTAGGTCAAATTCTATCAGCCCTGAAATTGTCAGATGAATCTAACAACCCATTGTTGGGTTGCTGCCACTAAATTGGTAATTATAAGGAAATTTTGCAGTATTTGGTTATTATCTTGAATATTATTAATGACAAAGATAAACTGTAGAGAGCAAAAAAGTTCAGCAAAGTAATCTTCAAAGAAGTTTAATGACCAAAATTGTCAATTGACCCCTAAAGGAGTTATTGCACTTTAAAGATTTTTTTCACAATTTGTTCATCTAGTTTGCTTACTTTAAAAAATCTTCTCCTGAAACTGCTGAATCAATTTCAGCCAAACTTGGTAGTATTTAGTATACATTTTGTATTTTATTTCCTTGTAATCCACTATGGCTAAAATGGAACATAGGGGTAAAATGCATTTTTTTGCTTTTGACAGATACAAAAAACATTTAAATGGAATTTTTAAGCCACTCATTGATATATATTGAAAAGCATAAATAATCATTGATGAAAGATTTAACCAAAAATTACAGGTGATCGATTCAGGCTTTTGAGAGCCTCTTGTTTAGAGTTAAAATTTAAAGACAGTCAGAGACTAAGTTTTTTTGACATAGACTGAAATAAAACTTGGACAGAGGCTAATTTTCAAGACCATAAAATAGCATCTAAAAATTTCAATTTGCACAAAACAAGTGTATTTCATGTATTTAGGGACGCAGCAATCCTTCATTCAATCATCAGCCTTTCGGCTGTTTTCTGTTGTTTGGTTGGAATGTTGTCTCTTTGACACATTCCCCATTTCTGAAAAAAATCTAATATTTAAAAATGGGGAAGGAGGTACTATCATTGCCCTAACCCTTTGAAGAAATTTCATGCTTCAATGCTCAAAATGTTCAGAATTTAATACCATCTTTCTTTAAATTTTTGATAAATTTTATAATTTTGAAAAAAAAAATGATTAAAAAAAAAAAAAAGGGGGGGCACCATGCCCAGAGAGAAAAGTTTTATTCTCTACCAACATATCTCTATCAATAATATATTCTCATTTATAATTACTAAATTTGTGTCAGAAATGCACATATGAATGGAATGATTTAGCCCTTTTAAGTTCAAAATGTTTGATTATTCATCTGTTTGGCAATCTGAATTTTGGCGAAAATTGACAATTTTTGACTAAAATTATTTTTTTGAAGAAAAAAAATAACACACGACTTTCTTTTTATTTTTTGAATATATAGAATGTTGTCTTTCAAAATTTATCAATGAAATGTCATGGTATAGTTGGTCTTGGGAGATAAACAGATTTAAAATTTAGGAGTTTTTGAAATTTTTCATTTTCGAATTTTAACACATTTTTAAATGGTTACTATGGAAACAAACTATTTAATAAATTCAAAATTTTAACGTGTTTGAATAGTTTGGGGTTTTGTTTATTAACAATATAAAAACCCTAATTTTTTTTTATTGATTAAATTAATTTCCATGGGACTTTAAATTCAATTATTTTAAATTTTCCAAAGGGTCTTTTTTCACATATTCAGGCAAAATGTTGTTTTGATGGTTACCATGACAACGGGCAATATACAGGGAAAATAAAGACAGAATTTTACTTATCTACCAAAGTTCTTATGATATAGTGCTAAAAAAATTACTTCTGAGACATGTCATGAATCACCCTCTGCATGATTTTTACAAAGACAGGTACTTAAGGTTAAAGTTTCCGTAATTGTCCAGAAATGTAGTTTTGTTCATGTACACAGAAGATTATCTGAAAATCCATTCAAATAAAGCCCCATCTATAAAAAAAAAGTTTAAAAAATTAGTGTTAGATATTGAATTTCAAGTCGGTCGAAAATTAGTAGATGTAAATTTGTCGAATTATAATTTTCATATTGATAATTTGATTTGCAGATAAAAGCCAAGAATGACGCACTAAACACAACCTGCACAGACATTTGTATTGGTAAACTTATTCCACAGGTAAGCACAAAAAATATAATTTTACACTCCTCATAAAGATGACGTTCTGCCCAGAAACTATTTTCCATGAAAGTATACTATATAGAGTAACATTTAAACATTCTGTAACAGTGTCATCAGCAGGCAACCTACAATAATCTTCGTACTATTAAAGAATGTTGTTTTTGTGGGAAAAAGAATCTCCGGATTATTCATATAAACTATAAGAGAAGAAACGAATGTTCAGCTGTATGCAAAATGTAATAGAAATATGATATTTCTAAATCTTTAACTGGAAGTTTTCTTCAGATTTGTTTTTCTACATTGAGGAGAAATAACAATGTTTACTTCATTGTTTAAGAATAACCAGTTATACGGATAATTTAAAATCAAACGAAGCGAACACCCTTCATTACTTGTAGCATTAAGCATGATACTATATGAGACATCGTCAACTTAATTATAGCAACAACGCTCGAAATGCATGTAGACTATTTGTTCAAAAGTTGATTAATTGACGTTATTTCTACAATCGACTGATGCCAAATGTTACGTTTCTGTTCTTCTTCTTTTTTAAATAATAAAATATCAGATTTAATATGTGTTTTAAAGTCATATGGTAGAACGATTGCAAAAAGTAACACGTCAGCAGTGTTGCAAGCTCATAACTTTTGAAAAACGAATTGCTAATATTTTGACAAATCCATTGCAACGGTCAACATAATTCAATTTGAAAGGCAAAAATGTTTTTCTAAGTACTTTAGTATTACAATATCTTAATTTTCTGAAATCAATGACATAATTGTCTACCATGTAGTTAATAATGATAATAAAAAAACTGAAGAAGGCCAGTGGCCGAAACGTCTTACAAAATGGTGTATTTACTACAATAATATAATATATGTTCCCTATTGGAATTTTGGAACAAGGAAATCACATAATTGTCAGATGTTTTTAAAAGTTAGATCTTGAAAAATATTATTGTCGGTGCCGTTGCTTTCCATAATCTTTTCCCATTGTAAATTGTAAAAATGTATCACATGCTTGTTAACTGTAGATTGGGAAATCATTTCCTAACAGTAAAGTAGAGCTCCACATGAAAAGTTCAAAACCACCAGTAACCAGTATAACTGATGGACATTTAGGAGTTGCAGCAGAAGGAGACATCGATCTGTATGCTAGAAAACCGGATAACAGTCTGCATTACTTATTCAGAATTGCTGGGGTAAATATAATATTATAAAACTGTTTCCTTAACTGTATACATTTCTTAGATAATCTAAACTATCTCAAACAAATAGATTATTTTTCTGTTAATCAACGCGTGGTGCCTTTTTCTCAGTACTTTACAATTATGTGGTCAAAATACAATTTCAAAGTCAATTGTTATTGCCGTACTATCATGATGTCACGCCCTTGTCTGCTAAATTCAGACAGTACTTTTCTTTCTTATATTTTTACAGATTATTGAAATGTCACATGTTCAAGTCGAATTATTAGCCAAATCATATCTTTACCGCTGTTATGACTTTGACTTCTAATTTTGTTCCCTCTCGTTTACAATGATTAAATACGTTTGCACTTTTTTTTTTTATAAAAGTGTAAAGTATAATTTGAACAATTTAAAAAAAAAAAAAAAAAAAAAAAAAAAAAAAACTAAAAAAAACATGTTTTTTTTTTTATTCTGAAGCCAACAAATTACAGAGGTGTTATTTTGAGCGATTTGTCATTTTTTAAGTGTGTTAATTTTGCACATTGTGTGATGTAAATGCACAAGGCTCATTACAATTACTATAAAGTTCTTTGCGTTTGTTTTTTCAATATCATTATTATGACTTGTTTTCTTATTCTTATTCAGGCTGGGTCTATAGCTGTAAAACTAACGATAAATGAAACTGTCATTCATGGATCTGTAGAGGATATGAAGTATGTAATATATTATTTATTGTCTTATTCATTCTGCAATTGACATTATTTTCTGTCGTGTATATTTGTTGTTAGGATGTTGTCGCATAGTTGTATAGACAAAGAAAAAACAATCAAGTTCGTGTCGAAACTTCAGTTTTGTATCACTTGACAGTCATATTATTATCATAGAAGTAAAAGAAATACGGATTTGTACTTTTAAAAAGAGAAACCAACGCCGTGGTAATGAGATAGAATATAACAAGGGGAAAATCAAAATCAAACGTCAAAGATATGTCAAGAACACGTTTTTATAACTAATGATATGATAATTCTAATCGAGGTAATACCGTATGAATTAGACCATAAAAACTACAGTGTAATGCAGATACTGCAGGATGTCGTAACATAAAATTGAAGGTTTACAATGGGAAAATGAAGGTATCTTTTTAAACGAAAAGTTTAGTTATCAATCGACCCTAGCTGTCTATTTTTAGGCGAATGCAAAGGAATGCAACAGGTCTATGTTATCCTATGTTCTATAAGGAAAGAAGAAATTTCCATACTGTACCAACTTTGAAGTGATACTTTCAAAGACATCACTGACACTGTTGACTAACATCGATAATTCAGTGCGTAGTGTCTTTATAATTGACTGATAAATTGTTGGCTAATTAACGTCAAGTTTCAAATATTTTATGCATATTCCGAAGGTAAACAAGTTATCAATTAAAACAAAGGGATCTGCAAAATTAGTCGAATTGAATGAAGGACTGGTTATTTAGATTGGCTAGTGACATAATTTTGCCTTGCATTAGATCACCTACGGCCCCCACTTAAACTTCGTGCGAGAGTTTATTTACGTGCAGATAGCTTGTCGCTTTGCCTAAATGTACACTATGCATAGGATTTAACCTCCACATTCTGATTGGACATGACTTCGTATTTATGCATCCAACACAGTGACACGTGTACGGTTGCCCTCTTTACATAAAGGATAGGTCTTACCGGATAAGAAAAAGTAAAAGGGATGGCCGTATGTCTATATCCAGTCAATCATTATTGCTTGTTACTTGATAACATAAATCTTTCTGAAAAGTCATTTCCATTTCATCAACATCTTGAGCTGAAGAAACCACGGCGATTTCAGGTGCTCTGAAAGTGTTAGCAGATTCTGCTAAAAGACAAAAACGAAGCATTATAGCAATTTATTGGACATTAATTATATATTCTATATTTATCATTGTCTCATTCAAATAGCAAACATGGAAGGCATCTGTTAAATTGAATTTCGTGTTGTTTTCATAGCATTTATATACTTGTACAGGAAATATAAATACTCATATAAAATGGCTACTAAAAGAATGAATGGAAATAGTCCATAGGTAACTTAACAAACTTTTTGTGCATTTTTCTATTCTGAACATGATTGACAAGATTTAAACCTGCTAGTTATTTTTTTATCTAATTGTTTTCTTTTCGTTCTTTTCAGAATTAAGTTAAATGTTTCAAAGTCTTCCATTGGACCTGTAAATGTAAGTCATGATATAATGATAGGTATCTTCGGATTTATTGGGTACATGAATTTATTAATGCAGAACATGCAACTCTATAAATCTACAAAAGATTGTTCTTTTAAAGGTTAAGGTGTTAAAATATCTTAAAAAAATAATGTTTTGATTTGTTGACATATTTTCTTCCAGTTTCAATTAAAACCAACTGTTTAGTTACTCTGGTTTCATTAACGAAAAAAGGGATAATAAAAATATCTAAGTCAAAGTTAAATTGAAAAAGGGGTAGTACATAAAAACTGACAAAATCAAACATCACAGACATAAACTAACTATTTTGTTTTTAAGAAGGAATATGCATTCTTAGCTTCAATTGTCGACTTCTCATTTCTCATCAGTAACATATCCTCTGACTCTTTGTATGATTATACATATCTCAGATAATAATAAGTAACGCTCGAGCATGTTCACACAAAACGGACTTCTATAACAGGGCTATGCTTCTGCTTCAACAGAATTATGAGGAAATCGACAATACAAAATTTTTACGGTCACCATCTCCGATTCGATTTGCCTCTGTCTCTTCTCGCTAGCGACATTTTTCGCGGTCTTTGATCTTCAGTTAATAAAATAGTCGTCTGGCCTGTCTATATGCTGATTGTGTCCAAATGGGATATTTTGACTGAGTATGTATCTGCATGGCGGGTGATGCATTCATAGCAGGAGATGTTTGCCCTGTCAACGAAACCGGTCTCACTCCTTCATGCGATTCCCTCAGTTTTTGGTTTATCTTACGTTGATTTGTATCTTTAAATGGATGTACACGATTTATATATCGGAAAAGCACTGTTGCCTATATTTCTTCAGAACATGTCAGTTTCACAAAAAACTTACAACTAAGATTGATCGTAAGTATACTGAATTGTTCATGACTTACGATTATTGTTATTCTATATCATATAACCTGCTTGAAAAGTATTGATGAAATTAAAGAAGACAATAGCGGAACTGACCATTACAAATACAAACTCGATCAATGGGTTACAATGCATGTCCTTAAACTCAATTCTACCTTAATTGTATCGAATTTGTTTTGTTTTCTATTGACATTTTATTTTTCTTTTGTATATTTTCTTAAGGAAAAACGGCTTAATATTAAAATGGAGATTCTCATATCAAAAATAGTAGGTTGACTTGTATTTTTCTTCAATTTCTGAAGCACATTTAAACGGTAGAGAATATAGTCAATATTAGTTTATTTTATTCAAAAACAGTTTGCACTAACACTTATCATTTGTTACAGGAAAAAGCTTTACAGTTCCTGGTAGACAGTGCCATCAAAACAACAATAACACCCATGTTAAATGGTGAGTAGAAGATATTGATATAGAAATCAGTCAATTATATAACAATTAACAATATTATTAGATATAGTAATTCCATCTACATCACCATCCCACACTTCAACTTTCCATAAACCTTTTAATTAAAACATAAGGCAAAAACAAACACATAAACAAAACAAAAATAACCATTCATAAAAACCAAAAAAGCTATGTTTTTTTAAAGTGATATCTAGGTAGGTGTAGATTTGCAACAGAGACAACGTTTCGACTGCTTTTGTTTAATCATAAGGACTTGCCTACTGGTCAGGTATATAGCATGTTATCGTTAATGTGCATGTCTAAACATATCTTATATTATATCTCTAGCTTGTAGACAGGTTCCTATTGTTTTGATAAGTTTGAATTCTTTTCGCAAGACAATCTTTCGATCAATTTTAATCGTAATTTGTATTGAACTGATTCGTATTACCGTGTGAAAGAATTAATTTATTATTATCAAACAAAATAAATAATTACATTGTTACACTATTGAAAAAATCCATACGATGAGTTTCTGAAAGCGAGCACAAAAGTATTGTTTCATCTGTCAAATAAACGATGACCACGACACTTCTAAATGTATTATTTATTTCCATATCAAAGAGATGTGTATGTTACCCAAAACAATTTCCTTTGTTTACACTCGAACATGTAGATGTATTTCACTGCCAAAAGGTCATCATGATTAACTTTTATAATATGTTAATTGAGGAAAACATGCGTTGACGTTTTACCATTACATAAATTAAAGGTGTTTTATGTATTATGTCTTGTTTAAAGTTGATGAATTAACTTTTAATTTTCTTCAGATCTTGGAACCAAAGGCTTCCCAATGCCATCGACAGATAATTTGAAATTGAACCAGTTTGATTTTAAACTTTTACAGGTAGACAAGTTTCTCAACTTTCAAAACTCAGACTTAGACATAAAAAGCAAACGTTAACGACTTGTCCTTCAGTATATTTTTGAAATAAATTTTTTATTCCTAATTTAAAAAGAAACAATCTTCCGGTATTACCATTCCCAGTAGAGATTACCACAATTAAATTGAAATTAGAATTTAACATCCAGATTCAAACTGAAATTTGAAATTAAAAAACATATGAATAATATGATAAAGCAAATAGTTTGAAGATATAAACGGGGATGACACAACCCAAATGTACGAGCAGGTCATGATCAACACGAAGTAAATAAACAAATCTTAAACATTGGAAGAAAACTTTGGAGCAATCAGGAGCGATGGTTTCTCCAAAATATTGAAAGTACCTCTTGCTCCATTTGTTAAACAGTAAACATGCTATTTAACGGGTCGTCAATACATGAGTTACAAGACGACGCATTTGAAAGAAGACAATTACAAATCTGGAGTGTAATGGGTAGCAAAAATACTTTCGTTCCGTTATATATTCACATATCATTAATTAAGAACAAAGAATTATAGATTTTCAGAAGAAGCACGCAATGCAGTTTATTCTACCAACTAAAATATTAGCAGTGAAAAGATTCATTTGGAACTATTGCAGATCAATTATAAAGACAGAAGAACCATGCTTATAATTTAGTAAGCTAAACACGCGTTTCATCAATGGTGCTCGAATTAAAACCGTTTTAAAAGATCAAAGTTCATTTCTGATTTTTATAGGTGTCCAATAATGATACTTTAAAAGAAAAAAATATATATTTCAGAATACAATGCTGATTGAAACGAATCTGAAGTACATACCTGAACCTACAAAAACCAAATCAACTGTACTTAAATTTATCCCAAGAGATCAATGGAAGTCAATTAACAATGTTTAAAGTTTGTGTATGTCATGGTGAATAATATCTTGCTTGTGTTGATACAATTCACATTTTATCCTGAACATATTAGTTTGTTATATGTTTCGAAGAAAATTATTAAAATATATATGTCAAATTGCATTCTTTACAATCTCGCTGAATATGGGTATACACCAGGTACACTATCAGAATGTTAGAATCTTTTGTAAAAAGGATCTTTTTCTTTTCTTCACAAAATTAGTCATCCCTTATTGCAAATCTATTATCTAATTACAAAATCTTCAAAACTGACATGGGTTTGAATGTTCTAAATAAGCTTTTTTTCAGCTTTCTTCTTAGAATTCTAAAACAAATCATGTATTTAGATTATGGTTTTTCGATTGGAAGATTCAGAAACTCTTTGATCCTACTCGATATATACACCGTCATGTTACTTCTAAGAAATACGTTGATCAGCTTTATCACGTGATAAGGCAATACACATTAGCGGATCTGTAATTGACTCTTATCTAACCCTAGGACTTCACCAACTGCGTAAATCATGGGTCATGTAAATTATATAACCATCAAACTTGACCGAATGTGAAATTTTGAATTTCATTTGAAACACATTTTTCTTGACAAAGGACAGACAAGGCTGACACCGGTATAAACAACACAAACATTAAAACAAGCACACATTAATCTATTCTGGGGAAGAAAATCCTTAGTATTTCAAACATTTCAAAGTTATGTAAACAATTAATTTATAAATATGACCATATCAATGATAGTTCATGTCAACACAAATGTGCTGACTACTGCGCTGGTGATACCCTTGGTTAGAAAACCAAGCGTTTAAGACGCAGCAATTTTAAAAAGGGTTATTGTTATGTTCTTGTGTTAAAACTGTGTTTTCGACTGCTTTAGGGAGAGGTGGACTAAGGTACTAGTATTCGGGTGGTCTGTTTAGTCCTTTAATGACGTTTATGCTCCCGAATGCATGTTGTTATATCTGGCTTTCCAAACGTTTGATCTCCAGCATAACTGTGTACGTAACCTACTAACACGTTTAATTGCAATGCAATCTGTGTTTTTCGTTTATTTTTTTGAAAAGGAAAGGTAGCAATGAAAACCCACTAACAGTGGTAAAGGTGTCTGTGCTACGTTTACGCAAACTGGCTAATTATTTCGGAGTTTGGGTGTTTTTGTTTCAGATTTCAATTTATGTCTGTTAAAAATTTGAGGGAATACGAAGTTTAAAATAGGTAGTTTACGATCCACGAAGCCACAATAAATGACAGTGACGTCATGGAAATGACCACTTCCATACGTTTTCTTATAATATAGTTTTTGTAAATTTTCATATAGTGCCGCTCACCACAAATTTAGAGAAAATGCAAGTACCAACAAAAAAATGTATCATAAATTATGTCTCTATGAACCACACCATCATGCAAATAACGTGTGTACTTGAATGTGCTCATTATTTCTCACCTACAAATATGTGTGAGAAATAGTTATTGAGGGCCCAGTCCATAATCGACGGAAGGCCCATAATAATCTGAATGTCCGACCGTGTCTCTGTCTGTCACACATATTTTTGGTTTCCTAACTTGAAAACCCCTTGGAGTTGGATAATGATACTTGGCATTCACGACTACTAGAAGATGTGTCACGAACAAAAGAGAGAGAACGCCATTTAAATTAATTGATGTTAAAAAACTTAGTCCCCTTTCTGCATCATTCAAAAAGTCGTGTCTGCTCTCTTACTTTCAAACCTTTTCGTGAATGCAATAGTGTTCCACCAGTGATAGTTCAATGGTTCGAAATTCATAAATCGATTGAGAAAAAAACAAATCCGGGTTACAAACTTAAACTGAGAGAAACACATCAAATATAAGAGGAGAACTACGACACAACAGAAACAACATTAAAATGTAACACACACAGAAAAGAACTATAATATAACAATGGCCATTTTCCTGACTTGGTACAGGACATTTTAAGAAACAAATGGTGGGTTGAACCTGGTTTTGTGGCTAGCCAAACCTTCCGCTTTTATGGCAATGTTAAATATAACATTAAAATGACAACATTACATGACGGGACTACAATACAAATGAATGGGAGAACATATAGGACAGAGAAACATACGAATAATAGCTAACAAAAGGTACCAGGTTTAAAATTTAATACGCAAGACGCGCGTTTCGTCCACACAAGACTAACCAGTCACGCTCAGATAAAAAAAGTACGAAAGCCAAAACAAGTAGAAAGTTGAAGAGCATTGAGGACCAAAAGTTCCAAAAAGTTGTGCCAAATACGGCTAAGGTTATATGTCTGAGATAAGAAAATCTTTAGTATTTAGAATAATTCATACTTATGTAAACAGTAAATTTATAAAAATGACTATATAATAGATATACATGATAACACCGAAGTGGTGACTAACTACAGAATAAAAACGGATACATAAAACAACATAAACCAGCACATAAAAATTCACAGCTGAGTTAGCCAAAGAGAACAACGCTAAAAAAAGGGTGACGTCACATTTGAATTTTTGAAATTTCCCCAAAATAGGATAAAATTAGGATAGAATCAAGATTTGGTTTATAAGACTCATATAACATTTATCAATAACAATGAAAATTTCAATACTAATTAATATAAAATGTGGTAGTAATAAGATAGTTAATATTATAATCTAGCTATGTCGGTGTTTCTTCTAAATCAAACTGTAAACCAAATATATCGTTTAAATTTAGTTGACCCAAACTAAAATCTAATTAATGAACAGGGTGATTAATAATCTTTACCATAACACACGAATACAACAGAAAAAAATAAGATTTACAACTACAAACGATAAGACATTTGACAAAATCCGATGAGAATAACAAATATAACATCAAAACTAAATACATGAATTTTGGATAGAAAGGTACCATGACACGTCTTATAGCAATGCGAATTCACACTCAGCAAAACAGTCACAATCGGGAATAAATCTCGTGCGGTAATTAAAAGATCAGACGACGTAATGTCAAACCACAATCTAACACGTGGTAAAAATGTCCTTAGTTAGTTTGGACACAGACACATCGTATGGATCGACCAATTCGTGATGGTGTCCGTAAAATTTACGGAGTGTCATTTTTAATCTGTCCTCCTCATAACTTTGTTGGAGCAGTTTCTGCGTTAGGAGCACACTCCTGTATATAAAGTCCGTATAGTGTGAACATGCACGAGCATAACGTATCAACTGAGATATGTAAACACCATACGAAGGAGCAGAGGGTATGTTACTGCTGAGAAATGGAAAATTGATAATTGGGAAGTTGAAATCGTTAAGTTTATCATAGATTGTCGTGTGAAAATTTTCTTATTTACTCTGTCATGGTTCCCATTCCTTTCTTCTACTTTGTTAATAAAATCTATTGCCGTTTAAGCTTTGCACCCTTTTATTTATAAATTTAACACAAAATCACTAGATTTCGTAGTACGTAAATGTGATAGTCCTGATATATCGTTAACGCACCTCAACCTTTCAAAACAAAAAAGGACTTTGTTCGTTGGAAAAATTGAATTAAGCATTCTCGTATCTACAAAACCACCACTACATTTATCAACTGTTTATGAACTATGCATTTGTCAATATATACCCTTATGAAAAGAAAAAGTTTGGTGCAACCTTGCAAGCTCTTAGCTTTCTTAAAACTGAAGGAACTTTGCAAACAGACTTTACAGCAGGCCCAAAGTTTGCTAGAACTTCGCCGCAAATATTATAGCATGCCATTACCATTATATGTAGCTTTTTGTCAATACTGAGCATGTTCTATGCAATATAACAGACTTCCTGCTTCTTTAAATTTGAAATAGGAGGGAAGTTATAATGTCGGTTTTTATGTAAAAAGTAAATGTTATATATGATAGATGTCTGAGTCATATATGATTCAATTAGTTCCTGGAATAGGCCATGCAATTGATCATCTCTTTGTAAGTCATTTGAGACATTATTTTGCATGTTAATTTGTTTATCAATTGAATGTCAATTGATAAGCAATATAAAAATTTATGTCAAAGAACCCCCATTTTTGAAAATAACTATTGTGTTACTCCCAAATATCATTACAGTTGTAGACTTAAACTTTGTGGATAATGATGTTTTGCAGGAATTGTCTTCTAATTTGCAATTTTATATATGCATTTTTGTATTCTTCTCTTTGGTTTTAAAAAATGTGCTTTGTCAATATGCCTTTTTGTTTTTCTTTGATGGCATGTTTGCTTGATTTTGATGTGATTCATTTGACGTGGCTTGGTACTTGTACATTCCGTCATTGTGTTGTTGTTCTATGGTAAACTTTTGTATTCTTGTCTTTCGTTTTTGCTAATGTGCTTTGTCTATATGCCTTTTTGTTTGTCTTTGTTGACATATTTGCTTGTTTTTGTAACGATTAAGATTATAATACAATGTTGACTGCTGTACCCCTATTTTTGACATTTTCAATGTGTAATTACCAGTCATTTCTCCTTTTTAAATTTGAACATTTTCATGAATATTTACAGAAAAGTAATACTTAAATCTGAGATCAAATTAAAAAAAATGACCATATGTAATTCATCATTGTTAAGGCGAAGTGTACGTAATTGCACGCCTCTAGCGGAATTCAGGATAAAAAACGTGCGTCGTTAGTTACGCGGGTTATCTCCCCTACTCCAAGAAAGGAAAAATGGGCACATGAAAGAGAAATGACTTCGTGCGGTCTATCATGAATTCAAACAAGTATTCATGTGCTATCTCAAAACTTCAAAGAAATAATTAGAATGACTCCAATCAGAAATCTGAGTATCCTATTGTGAGTTAGTCTGACTCTATTACCACTGCTTTTGTTTTAGACACGCAGGAGCAGGTACACAATACGACTCGTGTTTATTTCAACAGAAGGTAAAAACGCCTAAACAACAAAATTATAACCAAATAAAAAATAAACCAGTGACAATTCTGCTTCTATTCGTATCAAATTCATTAAAATCAAATCAGAATTGACCCCATAATATTTTTTGAAAAACCATAGTTTTGAATGAAATGCACAGTGTAGATCCTGTAGCGTAAAATTGTAGGTAACGAATAATTATATTGCATGTGAATTT